CATCGGTCTGCGGACTGAAAGGTCCCAGGTTCGATTCTGGTTAGGGGCATGTGCGTTGGCTGCGGGCACATCCCCGGTGGGGGGTGTGCAGGAGGCAGCTGGTCAATGTTTCTCTCTCATCGATGTTTCTAGCTCTCTCTCTCTCTCTCTTCCTCTCTGTAAAAAATCAATAAAATATATTTTTAAAAAAATAAAAAAAGAAAAATGGTCAGTCATTGGTAATGCTTATATTGACCATTGGTGATATTGAATCATGTTTTTGGAAAAAGTATTTTAACTAAACAGTTTCTTTGTATAATTGTGTATATTTCTTCCACTTGATGGGCCTTCTAAGGTCAGGCATCATGGTTTATTTGCAACTTAGTAAGTGTTGAAGTATAGTAAATTTTTGTCCTTTCCCTGATTTGTTTTGTTTTGGCGATGGATAGTGATCAATAGAAGTTAATCATTATATAATACTTGAACATAAATGACCTCTCCAAGATCAAGATTATAAAGGGGAAAACAGTAATTATTTGATAAAACAAACAAACAAACAAACAAAAAACAGTTACCCTGGTTTAAATACTGTGCCATTATTGTTTGGATTTAGGCTTTAAGGTAGTGGCTCTTATCCTTTCTAATGCCACGACCCTTTAATACAGTTCCTCATGTTGTGGTGTCCCCCAGCCATAAAATTATTCTTGTTGCTACTTCATAACTGTAATTTTGCTACTGTTATGAACCGTAATGTAAATATCTGTGTTTTCTGATGGTCTTACGCTCTACAGCAGCAGTTCTCAACCTGTGGGTCACGATCCACAGGTTGAGAACTGCTGCAGGGTCACCTAAGACCATCGTGACCCACAGGTTGAGAATTGCTGCTGTAGAGCCTAAGACCATCAGAAAACAGATATTTACATTATGGTTCAAGACCTAATTTGATCCAGTACTGGAGGGGAAGTTGAAGAAACTAATGGATAACCTTCTGACTAACCAAATTTATAAATGATCAAAAGAAAGTATGAATAAGATACCAGAATAAAAGAGTATATTGGGAGAAAATAACTCTAATAAATAGAGAAGGTACCCCAACACTTTAGTTATCTGCCAGAGATAAACATTTATCCAGGTCTGGCCAGTAATTTCCTTGTCCTTAGCTCTGCCTTCCTCTTGCTTTCTGAACCTTTCAAATCGCAGGGCCTTTACTCTGCAACTCAGGATTGTTTACTCCATCAGCACATAAAAAACTTGTTCTTCAGTAGCCGAAAATGAGCAATACTGTTTCCCTAGCTGCTATGAATCCAATGGAAGCAAGAAATAGATGAAATATCAGAAGACCTGGTTTGCAGTCCTGACTCTGTCATGTTCTGGTTGAGTAACCTTATGCCTATTGGTGATCTAACTCATGGCTTCCTTAATTCATTCATTTAACAAATATTTCCTGAACAGTCACTGTGTACCAAGCACTAGCTTTGGGCACTAGTGATATAGAAATGAATAAAATAGGTCATGCTCTAACAAAGTTTATGTTCTAGTGAGATTATAATAAGTGATCAGTCAATAAACAATATAACTTCAAGAAGTGAGCAGTACTGAGGGAGAAATAAAACAAATAATAAAGTCAAGGGAGAAACCAAGATGGTGGCATAGATAAACACCTAAATTGCAGCTTCACACAACAATTTCAAAAATACAACTAAAAAACAAAACAGACATCATCCAGAGCCACAGGAAAGCTGACTGACTGGAAACTCTACAACTAGAAGGAAAGAGAAAACCACAAGGAAAATCAGAGGAGTTGTAAAAGCCTGAGGTACAGAGATACAGGAGGACAGAGCTGGAGAGAAGGGGGTGGCTGAGTGCCTGGCTGACATTCTCTAGCGGGAAGGAGATAAAAGCTCCGACTGCACTGAACCCTAGTTCCTACTGCACTGAACCCCAGTTCTGGGCGAGAGCCTGGGCATCCAGGCTCATATGGGGGGAATCTGGGCTGTAAGGTGGAAACTCAGGGGAGCTGCTAAAGGCAGAGCTCCAGAGGTGGGCACGTGATTGTGCGCAGAGGACAGACTGTTGACTGCCACTGGATTGCCCTAGTAGGAAGGAGACAAAAGCTCCAGACTGCGCTGAACCCCAGCTCCGACTGCACTGAACTCCAGTTCTGGGTGAGAATCTGGGAATCCAGATTTATTGGGGGAGATACTAGACTGTCTGGAAGCAGGCAAAACTGGAGGGCACTTTTCTCTTAGAGGTGCTTGCAGCTTTAGGGTGGGGCTGACAGGAACACAAGGCTGTAGGCTCCACCCTGAAACTCTGCCCCATCCAAGCTGAGCACAGAGGCTTTTGCAATTTTTCCAAGTCTAGTCGAATAAGGCTGTCTCCTGGCATAGACACAGCTGATCCTCACAGCCAATTGGCCTGAAGGTCAACTCCTTCCACTGACACCAACAACAATCAAGACTTAACTACTACTGTGCTGTACACACAGTCCATAAAGGGGTGCACCAAGAATGTCCACCTCAGGTAACTGGCCCGTATAGGACACCTAGCTCACAAAACTACCCTACCAACTCAGGGAAGCAGCAAAAATGCAGAGACAAAGAAACAGATCACAAACAAAACAAATGGAGGAAAACAAACAACTGGAGATAGAGTTCAAAACCACAGTTATAAGGTTTAAAAAAAAAAAAAGTTTCCTAGAAAAGACCGATAAATTTAGTGAGATCCTCAAGGATATGAAAGAGACTCTCGAGGATATGGAAAAGGACCAACTAGAAATTAAACATACACTGATTGAAATAAAAAATACTATACAGACACCCAACAGCAAACTAGAGGAATGCAAGAATCAAGTAAAAGATTTGAAATACAAAGAAGCAAAAATCACTCAACTGGAAAAGCTAAAAGAAAAAGCAATCCAAAAGTTTGAAGATAGTGTAAGAAGCCTCTGGGACAACTTTAAGCGTACCAATATCAGAATTTTGGGGGTGCCAGAAGAAGAGAGAGAGCAAGATACTGAAAATCTAATTGAAAAAATAGACTGAAAACTTCCCCCACCTGATGAAAGAAATAGACTTACAAGTCCAGGAAGCGCACAGAACTCCAAACAAAAGGAATCCAAAGAAGACCACACCAAGACACATCATAATTAAAATGCAAAGGGCAAAAGAGAAAGAGAATATTAAAACCAGCAAGAGAAAAACAGTTAATTACCTACAATGGAGCACCCATATGATTGTCAGCTGATTTCTCAACAGAAACTATGCAAGCCAGATGGAAGTGGCAAAAAAATAGTCAAAGTGATGATTAACAAGAACCTACAACAGAGAATACTCTACCAGCCAAGCTGACATTCAGAATTGAAGGTCAGACAAAGAGCTTCACAGATAAGAAAAAGCTAAAGTAGTTCATCACCACCAAACCAGTATTGTATGAAATGCTGAAAGGTATTCTTTAAGAAGAGGGAGAAGAAGAAAAAAGTAAAGATAAAAATTATGAACAACAAATACATATCTATCAACAAGTTAATCTAAAAATCAATTGAATTAAAAATCTGATGTTCAGAATAAACTGGTAAATATAATAGAATCAGGGGCATAGAAAGAGAGTGGACTAACAACTCTCAGGGGGAAAGGGGTGTAGGGGGTGCCGGAAGAGATTGGACAATTATCATACAACTATGGATGAGGACAGTGTGGGGGGTGGTGGTGGGGGGGAGGTAAGGGAAGAGGGTGGGATGAGAACCAGGTGGAGGGGAGCTATGGGGGATGGGGGAGGAAGAGGAACAACTGTAATAATCTGAACATTAAAGATTTATTAAATAAAAAAATTAAAAAATAAAGTCAAATTGGAAGGTGTTCCTATGGAGAGGGTGGGGAGAGGGTCTCTTTGAGGCAGTAACATTTGAACCAAGACTTGAATGTACTAGGAGGCAACCAAAGTAAAGAAAATTCCAGGCAGAGGGCCCAGCAAGCCCTGAGGTGGGTCCAGGTTTGGGGCTGGATAACAATTAAGGAAAATGGCACTGGTATGTGGTTGTACTAGATCCACGTTTTTGACACGGTACTCCAAGTAATGCTAAAACTTCCCTGGTTGGGGAGGGGGGTGGGGGTCAGGGGCAGAGGTGTCTACCAGGCTCCCACACTCTGTCCAACACACAGCAGCTCTTCCTGGATCTGAAGCTTATACTGGGGTGCTGCTTAAGATTTTGCTTGAAGAACATATTCTGTGACCAAAACTTCTTGATCTCAACAGTCCTTCCCTACTCCAATAGTCAGACACTATGAGAATTTATCACAAACCCCTGTGATCCCTATAGAAGGGTTGCCTCAAATCTCATCAATAAACAGCGCCCACAGTGCCTACTCCTAGCGACCTGAGTCTGCTGCACCTCATTCCCTCCCCTGCAAAGGTGAACTGAACCTCTGACCTGCTGCAAGCCTGTCCCAGGTGGGGAGGGATGCATATCTGCCTCAGTCACTAAGACGAGTGACTGAGGCAGATATGCACTGTCGGATGGAGACTGTCCTACACAACAGAGCTTTGTGGAGAGAGCCAAGGAATGGCCCGGTTTTTTCCAACCTATAAAATGCAAAGTTGGCCAGCTGCCTTTCTTCCTAACCCCAAAACTCATATCTTTCCTTGTCTCCAGAGAACTGTCCGGCAGCTCTCAAATAACTCTCTGCTGTCCTGGGGTTTTGGGAAAAGCCATGCGCAGAATGTGAAATCACTTTCTGGTAACGCGAATCTAATTAGCTCTTTGACTGACAAAAAGGAAGCAGAGGCCAAGAGAGATTTTAACAATCTGTTTCTCACATATTTGAAAACAAGTGAAGAACCCGGCAGGGAAATGGAGAGAAAGAGGAAATAAGGATATAGGACATTTGGAAAACGGGTAAGAAAGAGAATGGGGGAGAAGAGAGGGGGAGTAAAATATCAAGTGACCAGTATATTAATCCTTTCTTCCCCCAACTTCACCCCGGCTCCCAGCTCCAGTCTCCTCTCTCTCAGAGAGAACTTACTTGAAGATCGATGATTTCTCTTGCTGATTCCATCTTGCTTCCCTCAATTGCCTTCGCACGTACCGAGTGCCCGAACAGACTGCGTGGGCGACTCCAGGCTTTGCTGTCTGAGTCTCCACTGCTTCCTTTGGGTGGGAGAAAGCACACAGCTGGCAGGACAGACGTGCTATTCATCCATCTGCTGTGGGATGCCTGTCTTAGCCTCAGCCCCTGGGAGAAGTGTACACATGCATACACGAGAGAGGGAGAGGGAGGTGAAGGGGGGCGGGAAGAGAGAGAGAGAAAGAGAGGAGAGAGAGAGCGCGCGCACCCGTACTCTAATGGTGGTGTGCGACACATTGATAGGTGGCCTTTTGAATAGGGTTGGCAGCGTCATTTTCTACAGTGGCTCCAATACCCTCCAGTCCCAGGGGAGCCATCTGAGGTCACCCAGCTTGCTTTTAGTCAGGAACTTGAAAAGCAGCCTGCAGACACTGTCTGGCTTCACAATGGTGGAGCTGAGTAGGGTTCCTGAGTAGGGATGACCTCCTCCAGCATTTACCCAAGACTCTGGCGTAGGGACTTCCGCTGTTATTTTCTATGTTCCCTCTATCTTTAAAATAGTTTCAAAATTGTGGTTTACCCATGGGCCCCAAAGCAAAGGCTTATTCTACAAAGTAAATACACAACACGTTGTTGTTGACAGATTGGCTGATTCTCTCATTTTCTCCCTTGATTAGCGAAAAAGAGAGCAGGAAAAGTTATGCCTTCAAATTCTGTTCATGCAAATAGTTGCATTTTCCCTGCTTTTAAAGTAATCTACCAGGAGTGAATCCTTTTTGGGGGAAGTTTTTCTTTCTGGTGTTTATCTCAGAGCCTCAAACTCCTGTGGCTTGTTTCTGAAGCTGGGTTTACACAGCAGCTTGTGTCTGTGTGGGGGTGGGTATGCCCCTGAGTGCATGAGGGTTCTGTGTTAAAGGGGAGTAATCCAATTCGGAGCTTAAAGGTTGGAGGTGGGGGGAGCAAAGTCACAAATTTACTCTCACCACATCCAAATGTAAAAAAGGGGTAATTTCTATTACATGATATAATGTCTTCCTAAGTCCCCACACTGCCGGACAAGTGCGAGGAGGATGGGCTATATTTCAGTGAAGCCTAATTTAAGTTATTAACAGTTCAATTTCGATAGAATGGTCAGTCTTTCAGATTTCCACACCCATCTCCCCGAAGATGGCATTTAGAAGAAGAGTGTGGTGTGTGTATGCTCGGTGATGGAGAGGTGACAGCTCTTGGATGTTCCCTGGGGCCTGTCTATCTCTGCGAGTTTCTGCTTTGGAGCTGCTGGCTGCCCCCTGAATTGATGAATGCTAAGGAGAGACTCAGCCTGCTCCTGGGCCTCCTGCTGGCCTTGGGGGCTGATGCCTGGGGCCAGGATAACTCATGGTACATTCTCTGTCTGCTCCAGGGAGGCTCCGTTGTTGATTCTGCTTTATCTTGGCTCCCATGGTGATGTGGACCATCCTGAGATCTGCTGTGATTTGTATGTGCTCCATCCCAGTGGTACCAGCTCCGTGGTCCGCCCCCTAAGATAATTCCCTCTGAAAATCTCCTACCAGACCTTCAGCTAATGCTCCTGTTTCCCTTTAGGTACATGGGGGCTGAGAACTGCTGACAGTCCTGGAGAAAGGCAAGCTCAGCTCCACTTCTGGTAAAGCGTTTGCTTTGATGTGGCTGTTTCAGGTTGAGTTGATCTTCCAGACTCCAAAGTGGGAGAGAGATGATCTTCCAGACTCCAAACTCTCAGCATTCCTTCAAAATCCACCAGTAATGCCCATCCCCCATAACAATGCACTACACAATAAACACCATTCTAAGCACTGTAGTACAACTCACTTAGTTCTCATTACAGTTCTGGAATAGGCAATACTATTATCCCTCCTGTGCAGATCAGTAAATAGAAAAACAATTTAACATTGTCCAGGCATTCTGATTCACAGTCCATGCTTTTCTTCACCATTCTGGCTCAGAGAGGAGGGGTTGAGACACGTGTTTAATATCTGCTTTCTCTTCCTTTGCTTTCTGTCTTCCTCTAATCCCCACAATTTAGGGTCAGAAAAGGTGGACTTCGTTTTCTTTCTCTTCTGGTTGGATTAGAATGTGCCTTAAGAGGAATTCTATGATAATGATTCAAAGAAGATATAAAGAGATTTAGAAAATCATCATTCTCAACAAACCTGTCTGTCAAAATATTATCTTACTGGAAGGATATATGTATCCTATTGATAAGTTTTAAAAGGAAAAAGCTGTAACTCACTATAATAATAGTTTTAGCTTGGCAAGATCTTTCTGGATTTCAACCTTTCCCCACCTTATATGCATCATTTGGAAGTAAGTAAGAAACAGGATTTGGAAAGTATTTTATCTACTGTGACTCTGGATCAGGTGTCAGCAATTTTTTTTTGCAAAAGATCAGAGAGAATTTTTTTTTTTTTTTTTTTTTTTTTTTTTTTTACCTTTGTGGGTCATATGGCTTTTGTCACAACTACTGCACTCAACTCTGCTATTATAGCATAAAGCAGCTATTGAGTGGCTATTGCTGGAATTTTAAAATCTTGGGCTAGTTAGATACTGTCCCAATAGAACTTTTCTTGTTTTGAGGCAAACCATTCAGAGACTCAATTTTCCACTTTGCATGTTTTGAAGTGCTGCTCAGAAAGTGCATGTGCCATCTATCAGAACAAGTGGTAATCTGAAGGAGCAAGGTCTGGTGAATACAATGGGTGAACTAATACTTCCCAGGCAAGATCTTTTAACGTGTCTTTAACTGGTATTGAATTGTGTGATGGTGCATCATCATGAAGCAAAATTACTTTGCCCTGTCTTCTGGCCCATTCTGGTCGTTTTACAGTCAAAGAGTGGTTCAAATTGATTATTTGTTGTCAGTAGTGATCAGTATTAATGGTTTCACCTGGTTTTAGGAGCTCAGAATACACCACACCTTCCTGATCCCACCAAACGCAGAGCATTGTCTTCTTTTGAAGCGATTTGGCCTTGCAGTCGATGTTGATAGTTGACCTGGATCAACCCATGATTTTGTATATTTGGGATTTTCAAAATAAATCCACTTTTCATCGCCAGTCACAATTCGATGTAAAAAAGACTTTCTTTCATGCCAGAGAAGCAACATTTTACTGAGTACTTTTTGGTTTTCTATTTGTCTTTTGTTCAGTTGATGTGGCACCCATTTTCCTTTCTTTAAAATCTTTCTCATTGAGAGATGCAAATCAAAACGACAATGCGGTACCATCTCACACCTGTCAGAATGGCTATCATCAACAAACCAACAAACGGTAAGTGTTGGCGAGGTTGCGGAGAAAAAGGAACCCTTCTGCACTGCTGGTGGGAATGCAGACTGGTGCAGCCACTGTGGAAGACAGTATGGAGTTTCCTCAAAAAATTAAAATGGAACTCCCATTTGACCCAGTAATCTCACTCCTAGAAATATATCTTAAGGAACTAGAAACACCAATCAGAAAGGATATATGCACCCCTATGTTCATAGCAGCACAATTTACAATAGCTAAGATTTGGAAACAGCCTAGGTGCCCATCAGCAGATGATTGGATCAGAAAACTATGGTACATCTACACAAAGGAATAGTATGCTGCCATAAGAAAGAAGAATTCTTACTATTTGCAGCAACCTGGATGGAATTGGAGAACATTATGCTGAGTGAAATAAGCCAGTCAATGAAAGAAAAATACCACATGATCTCACTCATTTATGGATAATAAAGAACATTATAAACTGATGAACAAAAAGATAGATACAGAGACAGTAAAGCAACAAACATACTGTCAAATTACAGCGGGAAGGGTAGGAAGATATGGGGAGATAAGAGATCAACCGAAGGACTTTTATACACTCATATAAGCATAACCAATGGACACAAAACTCTGGGGGGTGAGGGCATGTATGGGAGTGGGTGGGGGCAATGGTAAGATATGTACATATATAATACCTTAATAAAAAAAGAAAAGAACTGAAAAAATAAAAAAATAAAATCTTTCTCATTGCTTGTAAACAATCAGAAATTGTTTGCTGAACAACATTTAATCTTTCTGCAAGTTGTTTTTGAGTTTGACATGCATCTTCATCCAATAATGCTTGTAATTGTTAGTCTTCAAACTTTTTTAGTCAACCTGGACATTCTTTGTCTTTCACATAGAAATTATCACTTTTAAAGCATTTAAACAAGTGTTCACAAGTATCTTGAGATGGAGCATGTTTACCATAAGCTTCCCAAAGTATACAATAACTTTCAGCAGCACTTTTCTTCAAAATAAGTAATGGGTTAAAACTTCTTGCAAATGCTGTTTTTTGGGCACAAAATTCGACATTTTTAAGCGTAAAAATATCTATCATGTTAACACCTCCAGAAAATTTGACATATGAAGTTTTGAGGCTTGTTGTCAAAACAACAAAATAACATACATATGAAATCGCATATATATCTACATATGTGTAAATCCATCTATTGAAAAAAGTCCACATTATTAACCGGTATTGAAAAAAGTCCACATTATTAACCTGTTAAACAAATGAGTGAGGCTGTGTTCAATAAAACTTGATTAACAAAAACAGCAGAGTAGATTTGACTCCACGGGTCATAGTCTACTGACTTTTGTTCTAGAATATGAGCAAAAAGAGAATCTGGAGTTCTAAACAACCATGTCCAGTCTTCTAGATCATGTCTTTCAAACCTAATTCCCACTTGAGAGGTGACAACTGAGCCCCTTACTAAAAGGGTAATATGTTAAACACTATGGGAATGTAAAAATCACAAAATGCATGCCCTTGTGAGACACATACCTGGCTAGTTAATCTAGAGTGAAGAGTGCTTCTGACCTTTGGCTGTAATACTGAAACTATAGCTACATGAAGGCTATTCACTCTAGGAGAGAGAAAGGTTCTGATTCCTCTTTTATGCTAGGGTGACTTCTACAGTGTGAAGTCCAAGGGACAGTTTTAGGGAAACTGCCTCTGGGGAAGAATTTTTTAGAACATGCTTGAACTTATAGATAAATAAACACCCAGAAACATCCATGAGAGAGAATCATTGATCAGCCGCTCCCTGTACACCTCCCACCGGGGATGTGCCCACAACCAAGGCACATGCCCTTGACCAGAATCGA